GTTTTTACTTTTTTAAAACAAAAATGAACAATAGCCATCACATATTGTATAAATATTAATGAAGGACTAAGGGTTTGTGGTTTGTTTTTTTTTTTAATTTTAAGGGTTTCCCTCTAAGTTAGGGCTTGCCAAATTTTTTCTCTAAAGGATCTTCACCTTTAGAACAAGGGCTATCTCCCTTTCCTAAGGGCTGACATGACCTCTAAAGGGCTGCTAGTTGCCCAAGGATCCCCGCCCCCCCCATTTCCTGATATTCTTGAAAGCTCCTGAACTTTGCAATCTGGTCAGTATAATTTCCTTGCTTATTTTAAATAGGAGGCTCTAAATTATTTAACTGGTACCTTTTCTAAACAGTGATCAAATAATATAGATGACATTTCTAAAATTGTTGTTATATATCATCGAGTTGCTTGCGACTCATAGCGACCCTATGTACAAGAGCCCTAAATGCCGCTCTATCCTGTGCCAACCTAGCCATCTCAAACGCACTCATTCCCACCACTCCAACTCACAGAATCGATCCATCTCATCGAAGGTCTTCCTCTCCTGCGCCGCTCTTCTGCTCTGCCAAACATGATGCCCCTCTCCAAGGACCAGTCCCTCCTTGCAACATGCCCACAGTATGGAAGCTTCAGAATCCTTGACTCCAAGGAGCATTCTGGCTTTATCCTCTCCAGGACAAAACTGTTTGTTCTCCTAGCAGTTCATGGTATATTCAACACTCATCTCCAGCACCACAGCTCAAAGACTTCAATTATCTTTCTATTATCCCTATTTACTGTCCAACTCTCCGATGCATAGCACGTAATTGCGAAGACTATAGCCTGGATCAGGTGTACCTTAGTCTCCAGCCTGACATCGTTGCTCTTCAGTACTCTTGTGCGGTCCCTCACAGCTGACTTTCCCAGTGCAATTTGTCGCTTGATTTCCTAGCTGCTGTTACCAAGAGTGTTGACTCTGGAACCAAGTAAACTAAAACTGTTATCTCAATCTCTTCACCATCCATACTGATGCTGCCAGTTGGCCTGGTGGTGAGAATCTTTGTTTTCCTGATGTTGAGCCTCAATCCATATAGGAGGCTGCAGTCCTTGACCTTCTGCAACAAGCACTTCAGGTCCTCCTCAGTTTCAGCAAGCAGAGTTGTGTCATCTGCCTAATGCAGGTTGTTGATGACTCTTCCACCAATCCTGATGCTACATTTCTCCTCATACAGCCCAGCTTCTCGGATGATCTGTTCTGCATACAGATGGAAAAGGTATGGAGACAGAATACATCCCTAACAGACCCTCTTCTTGATTTTGAACCATGTAGTATCTCCTTGCTCTGTTCTGAAATGTTTCCCACAAATGCATTGAAAAAAATCAATTTCTGCAGTGGTTTATTTTGTAGGTAGGAAACAAGCACAACAAAGAGTTGTCTCCATCTGAGAAAAGGGAAATAAGAGAAATCTTTTCAGTATTAAACTCTTAAGATATACACAGTAATGGATCCGAGCAGAAGTAAACACTCCTGCACAAATGGAACAAAGCCTTGGTGGGCCCATCTGAATGAGGCTAAAAGTACACGATAGATGTGATCATAAGAAGCTGCAGTGAAGAAACAGCTAGTGGCAGATAATCTGTAGTCTCATCCAGTGACCAGGGTAACCCTTGTTCACAAGCTGGAGTAACAGCAGCCACATCCCCATATATCACAGCAGTATCCTCGCCAAGGATGATCATGAATTAGAAGCATAATTAAGGGTTTCAATAAGGTTTGTTTAAAGAATGATAGATTTCATACTGTAAACTTAAATATTGGGTTTTTTTTTAGCATCGGTTTTTGTGAGGTTGAGACGTCGCCATGAGATAGATCCACTCCCACGAGCTGACACACCAGCTCATCACATATGCCTTAGCGATGCCCCTGCTACACAGGAGTGGCCAACCGGCTTTTCACAGGTTCCACTCCACTCACCTGCTTGTGCTGTGGACACTGAGGACTGGAAACACAGCAAGTGCAGAGATGGAAGTGTAATGTACACACTGGTTTTCAAAGACTTGGTACCCAAAAATAGAAGAAACAACTCTCAAGAATCATTTTCATATAAACGGTGTCATTGTGTCTCCCCCAAAATACATGTATATAATAACAGGATGTGGAAACTATGTAATGATCCCCAAGGGCACAGCTGTAAAAGGATTAAGGGTACACTCCTTAATCCCATCACTCTCTTTTGGTAAAAGAGTTTCCCCCAGGTGAGATTAGTAGTATCTATCTCACTAGAGATAAAAGGGGAGGTACACAAGTTGGGAGGGGAGAACCCCCTCACCAGGAGAACTGCAAGGAGCCCCTGTGTAGGGGAGGGCTGGGCTGCTCCAGGGCAGTGGGCATGAGGATGGTCAAAGAGCCCAGGGCTTTCCTCTGCAGCTGACAGAGCAGGACTTCCTTCCCCTAGGGCTGGCATCCTATATTTGGATTTCTAGCCTCTTAAAAGGGAGTTCTGGTGGTTTAGTGGTAAGGTGTTGCGCTGCCAACCCAAAGGCACAGGGTTTGAATCCACTAGCTTCTTTGTGGGAGAAAGAGTAAGCAATCTTTTCCCGTGGAGTTTGCTGCCTCTGAAAACCTGCTGGGGAGTCAGCTATGCGTTAGTTCTAACTTGATGGCACATAACTTTAGCCTCTTAAACTGTAATAGATTTCTGTTGGTTAAAACCATTCACTTGTGATATCTGTTATAGCAGCAGTAGGTAAGACATTTGGTGAAATTTTAAAATAATTTGGGTATACTGCATGAATATATTATTAAAATCAATTTCATCTCCCCGCCCCCCATGTGGTTACTAGAAAATGGAAAATCAGTGATGTGGTTTGTACTATATTTCCACTTACAGCCCTCTTCTATATAGATAATGCATGTTTGGTTTTAAAGTTTTCACTCTAACTAACTGGACGTGCAAAGATATAGAAGACACCCAGTACGATCTTTCTTATATTGATATCAATAGAATAGAATTAAGCAGCAACATCTTAATTACTATCCTCTAAAAAGGCTAAAGAAAAAGAACTAGACTTTTAGTATTTGCCAGAGGCGCCAATGTGGTAAGTATGCAACTCCCAGCCACGGTAACACAAGGTGGAAAAGTCAAAAGGCCTCAAAGCCAGGCTATACTGTGCATCCCCGGGGACTCCACAAAGCACACATCTGGGCCTGACATGCAGGTAAAGGGTGCATCTCCAGGGATAGTGGCCACAAACAGCACAGAATACACAAAATGTGTGATGAGTGAATGCAAAATCTAAGAGACAAAGTCTTTGATCTTTTCTAAACAATTTCCAAATGATTGGGTTACAAGATAAACATCAAAGAGGAAAATGTGAAAAGATAGGATTTTATTCATCAAAAGTTAACAGCAACAGGCACATATTAAAATGAGTATGGCAAAGCCTTTTACAAATGGCTTTACACTCAAGCTTTCTCCCAAGAAAATGGCTGTTGCGACAAACTGTAAACATAATTCATAAACAGTCTTTTACAGTAACAAAGGTAATACAAACGAACTGAAAGAAAGCACCAGTTTTTAAAAACTAGATTACAGTTGTGCTTACTGTACATAAAACAAAACAAATTACAAAAGTGGAATGTTTTCAATTTTAAAATTAGTCCTTAAATTTTGTCCTAAAAAACATCTGTTCACATCAAAAGGCCCATCAGAGGGTCACGTTTCGTCAAAGGGAGGGACAAGAAAACAATGCACTTTTTTTCAAATCAAAACGAGAAGTTTGGTCACTTAGCTTTGTGCATAGTTTAAGGCAACTGGAGCAATCTGAATCGGTGTCAGCTGACCTCCCTCCCCGCTCCCAGGTGGGGCTGCTCACTATGTCACATTCTCAAATAATAAATAAAAGCTTGCAATTCCAATCCTTCCCCAGTGGATAAATAGGACACATGCACAGTCACACATGCACAGACATGCACGCAAACACACGTGGAGACGTCCACTCCACACATATCGGGCCTCTCACTCACTGCAGCGAACGGGACTTTAGTACCCTTGGTTGGAGGGATCTACTTCCCCATCCCACTTTATTTCAGATTAGCAAATACCCTGAGCTGATTATGGTGTTTTTGAAACATTCCACCTTTTTTCTTGCATGTGCAGGTCAAGTATACAGTGGTGAAAACAGCATGCAATGTCTTCACTGTAGGATCATAATACAGCTAGGACATTGGTGTTCTTCCCCTCCCACCCCAAATAAAAACCTAACAGTAAGAAAAGGAAAGACGAGAAAAAGAAAAACAGCATGGCCAAACAGCACTGGAGGAGAAGCTCGGCAGAATCCCAGGAGAAACATTCCCTTTCCAGCGCCCAGGAGAAAAGCAGAGCAAAAGGAAGGCTTTGGTGGCATCCAAAGAAGTAAAAAAGGCAAATGGGGGATGAAAGAGCTGCTGTCTGCAGTTTGATCTTAAAAAAAAAAGTTAGTGGTTCCTTCACAATCGTGCTCCACGGCAAAGTCAGAACTAGTATTGGCAGAGTTGGTGTGTAAACATAGAGTCTTGACGGGGGCAGCAGAGGCGGGACACTTCACATTGCTGTTTTCTCTGCGAAAACTCAGTGGAAGGGGACAGATCCATGTTGATGCATCAGACTGGTTAAACTCCAAGAGGTTTCTGCTCAATGATTCACTTCAAGTTTCATGGTTTCAAGAATAAATTCTAGTTAGTTTTGAAGAAAACATGTGGCACACCATGTCATTTCCACTGTCACACCTTTGTATGTTTTTCCTGCTGGGCTTTGCATATTCCAGGTTGTACACAGAAGCCAGAAGCATATTGCTGTGTGTTCAGATCTTTCAATTCATTACTAAGTGGGCTGACGTGATCTAACAGAGGAAGTCTTGGAAATAAATAATGCTGGCATCACTCGGAAACCTTGGCAGTTAAGAGGAAGTCCTTTCACCTCCACACCATTTCACATTTCTAAAACCCTCCAGAGGCAGGTGTCCCCCCGATTCTGGAGGTCAAGATGATCGGTTTTCCTGAGGTAATAACTGTGAATTCAACTCCTCGAATGAAGCATTGGCGTCCTCCCGGGTGGACCGCGCCCTCTGTATTCCCTTCCAACTGGCTTTATTCAGCCCCACGTGGCCAAGCATTGTCTGTGAGAGTCTGGTGTTGGAAAATCGAGCCCATTCCGTAAATAACGGCTCCACCAGATAAGTCATGAAACCTGAAGAAAATGGAAAAAAGAAAACTGACATATGTTGTGAAACACTTTCTCTAAAAGATCTAGAGAATTTATATTCTTAAAGTCTATTCAAGTATAACCAAGATATTATTTTTCCAAAGATTCTAATGCCTGTAATTGTTATTTTCCCTAGAAATAGGTATCTCTATTTTAAAGTGTATTTATTTGTTACTGTCATTGAGAATACAGATTGTACAACATACATCAATTTAACAATGTCTCAAGGGACAAATCAATGATGATGATTACATTCCTCAAGTGCAAACAATCTTGCCCTTCTTTTTTTTTTTGCCCTTCTTTTATAAATTAGAATTCATTATAATGACTCATAATAAACTATCCCCTCGGAGTTCTGGTGGGTCCCAGGAGCAGCTAGTTAGTGGATTATGTAATCTACCACAGCACAGCCAGAGTGTTCTTGGAGAAAAAGATGATGAACTATGAAAGGATTTGTCTTTCACATGTTGGAAATACAGCTAGGCAAGGCTATTCCTTGGAAAGGGGTACCATATTTGGAAAGATGGAGGGTCAATGAAGGAGAGGAAGACCTCCAACAAGATGGATTGACAAGGTGACTTTAGCAATGGGCTTGAGTGTGTCAGAGATAATGAGGACAGCATAGGACAGAACAAGCATCAGGTCTGCTGTTCATAGGGTCGCTGGGTCATACTCAATGGCACCCACTACCACCACAGGACATATCGCCTATGTTCTGTTCTAGCCAGTTTTGAATGCTCCTGAGCAATTATTTTTCTTGCATATAATATTAATAATATTGTTCAATAGTTTCTACATTCTGTTGGATCACCTGTCTTAGGAATGAGAACAAAGTTGGACCTCTTCAATCAGCTGGCCAGACATTCTTTTTGCTATAGTGACTATGTGTGTTCCCTCTATCTTCTTTTGATGCCTTCTGGATCATTCAAGATTATGCCCATAGCTCACTAAGTCTTGCAACTGGGACTTGATTTTGTTTTCAGTTCATTCAACTTGAGAAATGTTAAGCAAATTCTTCCCTTTTTATTCTCATAGTCTAGTCCTCTGGACATTTTGTTACAATAGTCCTCTTTGTCTTCTTGAGCTGCCTTTGAAATCTTCTATTCAGCTCTTGTACTTCAGCTTCTCTTCCCTTTGTTTTGGCTTCTCAACCCTTCAATGCAATTTTCAGAGTCTATTCTGAGAAGCCAAAGCACAATGAAGAATTCAAGATACTAAAGAGCTGAACAGAAGATTTCAAAAGGGAGCACGGGATGACAAAGTAAAATATAATGAAATGTGCAAGAAACTGGAGTCAGATAATCAAAAGGGTTGAACTCGTTCAGCATTTCTTAAGCTCAAGGAACGGAAGAACAAATTCAAACCTCGAGTTGCTATAATGAGTGATGCTTTAGGCAGAATATTAAGTGATCCAGGAAATAGTAAAAAGAAGATGGAAAGAATATACTGAGTCACTGTATCGAAAAGAATTGGCAGACACAGAAGAATTTCATGAAACAACATAGGAGCAAGAGTCAATGGTGATGATGAAGGAAGTAGTTCAGGCTTCTTTGAGTAGCAAAAAATAAGGTCCCAGGAATAGATGGTATACCAAGTGACATATTTCATCTAACAGATGCTACCCTGGACATGCTCACCAAGTTGTGCCAAGATATCTGGAGAACAACCACTTGGCCAGCTGACTGGAAGAGATCTGTATTTGTTCCCATTCCAAAGAAGGGTGACCCAAAAGAGTATGGAAACTATAGAACAGTATCATTGATTTCACATGCAAACAAGATTCTACAGAAGATTATCCAAAAACGATTGGAACAGCACATCAGCAGAGAACTGATATTGTTCTATAGTTTTCATACTCTTCAAAGTACTGAAGAGCAATGGTATCTCTCTGCAGACGAAGGTGCATTTGATACAGGCCACGGTCTTTGCAATCACTTGCTATCTGTCAGAGAGCTGGACAATGACTAGGGAGAATAGAAGGAGAATTGACACCTATGAGCTGTGGTGCTGGAGAAGAGTATTGAGTGTACCATGGACTACTAAGAAAACAAACAGATTCATCCTGGAGAGGGTTAAACCGGGCTGCTCCTTGGAGACAAGGATCCTGAGGCTTCATCTGACATACTTTGGACAGTTGTAAGGAGGGACCGGTCCTTAGAGAGGGACACCATGCTTGGGACGGTGGGGGGACGGCGCAGGAGGGGAAGGCCCTCTATGAGGAGGACTGATTCAGTGACTGGGGTAATTTGGGTGGGTGTGAAAGAGACAGTGCGACTGGCACAGAACAGAGCAGAGTTTAGGGCTGTTGTACATAGGGTTGCTATGAGTTTTAAGTGGCTTGATGGCACATAACAACAACAACAACAACTTCTGTCTTTGTAGTGACCTTTTGCACTTTTCATGGATGCTATCTATAATGTTATCCCAGAACTCATCTGGTCTTTGATCACTGGTGTTCAATGTTTTGAACCTATTCTTAACATGATATTTAAATTCAGGCGGGATAGACTTGAGATCATATTTTGGCTTGCATAGACTTGTTTTAATTTTCTTCACCCTCAATTTGAACTTTTACATCAGAACCTGATGGTCTGTTCCATCGTCAGCATCTGGCCTGATTTTGTCTGCTGATACTGAGCTTCTCCAAGATTCTTCCCATGTATATATATGCAATATGATTCCTATGTAGTCTATTTAAGGAAGTATGTATATGTGTAAAGTCGCCACTTGTGGTTTTTTTTTTTTAAAGGTATTTGCAATGAACAAATCATTTAACATACAAAATTCAACTATTCTATTTCTGGCCTCATTTCTGTCACCAACCCTGTACTTTCTGACCACCCTCCCTTGTTAATGTTTCTAGCTACCAATTATCATTAATGCATCCTGGATTATTCCTGCACACTTCGTCAATTTTTGAAAGCAAAATTTTATAAAAAGTCTTCAATTTCATCATCTTTGGCTTTTGCTGTTGGTGAATATATCTGAATATGTGGCACCAAGGATTGGTTATGTCAGATGGATCCTGGCTGAAAACAAAGAATACCAGAAGAATGTCTATTTGTGCTTTATTGACTATGCAAAGACATTTGACTGTAAGTGGGGTCATAACAAATTATGACTAACAATGAGAAGAATGGGACTCCCAGAGCACTTAATTGTGCTCATGGGAAACATAGACACATACCAAGAGGTACTGTGTGAACAGAGCAAAGAAACACTCCGTGGTTTAAAATTAAGAAAGATGTATATCAGAGTTTTATCCTTTCTCCATACTTATCTGTATGCTGAGCCAATTATTTGAGAAGTTAGACTCTATAAAGAGAATATGGTATCAGGACTGGAAGAAGAATCATCAACAACCTATGTTATGTAGATGATATAACTTTGTTTGCTGAAAGTAAGGAGGACTTGTAGCACTGTCTGCAGGAGATCAGGGAATAGAGCCTTCGATGGACTGCGTCTCAATATCAAAAAAACAAAAGTTTTCATCACTGCACCTATAGGCAACATAATGCTAGATGGAGAAGAGAAACTGTCAACAACTTCATCTTACTTGGATCCACAATTGGTACACTTGGTACCGGCAGTCAGGAGATCAGGAAATGTATTATGCACTGGACAAGTCTGTAGTCAGTGACTTCTCTAAATTATTAAGGACCAATTATGTCAGTTTGAGGACCTGAATCAGGTCTACCTTATTCAGGTCATGGCCTTTTCAATCACTTGCTAAGCTGCTGAGATTTGGACAATGAATAGCTTACAGAAGAAAAACCGATGCCTTTGAACTGTGGTATGAAGAGTACTGAACATTCCATGGATGGTCAAAAGAACAAACAGATATGCCTTTGAGAAGGTGCAGCCAGAGTGTTCCTTGAAGGCAGAAGCTTCATCTCACAGACTTTGGCCATACTGTTAAGAGAGGCTATTCCTTGGAAAGGACATTATGCTTGGAAAGGTGGAGGGACAGCAAAAGGGAGAAGACCCTCAACCAGATAGACTGACACAGAGACTGCAGCAATGGACTCAAGTGTGTCAGAGATTATGTGGCTGGCACAGGATAGGACAGGGTTCACATCTGTTCATAGATCTGCTGTGAGTTGTAGTCAATAGCACCTAACAACAACAACAACAACAACCACATCATACCACCTATGCTAGCATCTACTAATGCCTGCTTAGTTAGTAGTTAAGAACCTGCAATTTGATGCTGGAAACACCTGGAGTTGAAGCTAATATTCATACCTGTCAACTATGTAAACCAGGCAAACTCTATCTGAAAGAGTTTTTGCCTCTGTTGTTATTCATGTGCTGTAATGGGAGGAGACTACTCATCTTTATTCCTCATAGCAGCGGGCAACCTTGAACAACTTGCCTTTTGCGTTGACAGCACAAATCCTTATCCACTAAGCCTCTGTTCCTGTTTCTAAGATCAGCTGTTCAAAGAACAAAGGTTCTTTTAATGTTTTAAAATCCAATTAAAATTATCTACTGTTGGCACCCTCAGTTCAGTAATTTTTCTTTAAAAAAATTTTAATTTTTTGTGTGTACCATCAAATCAGGTCTGACTATACAGGAGACTGTCCCTCCTCCTCCAGCAGAGCACCTGGTAGATTCAAACAGTGCACCTCTGGGATTGCAGTGGAGCTTCTTTCCACTAGGTCAATAGAGCTCGCCCCAGTTCAGCAATTTAAGTCTCTTTTTTTTAAAAAAAATTGTATTATTTTTACGTGTACCGTCAAATCAGATCTGACTGGTACAGGAGGAGATTTCCCCCTCCTTCTCCAGCAGAGCATCTGGTGGATTTGAACCGTGTGCCTCTGGGATTGCAGCAATTTAAGCCTTAAAGTCCACCAACGGAGGTTCTTTGACCTCATCTGCAACTTTTCTCACTGAAGTAATTTACTTAGCTGAAAAGACATTTAAGGCAGGCCTTCAAGAAAAGGAGTCTATTAGGCAGAAAAGACTGACAGGGCAAAAAAAATAAAGAGCAATAAGGGTGTAGGGAAGAGGCCCAAGTCACTTTAAGAAAATGAGGTGCAAGTTACAAGAAAGATGACTGAAGAGAAGTCAAGGCTTCTCAGTTTATTCATCTAATAAGATGAAAAGCTTAGATTTAATCTCGCATTTCATTTGTTAGGTGGTGTCGAGTCAAGTAATCTCACAAGTAGCAAATAAAAGATTTTGTCAGGAAAGGAAGCAGCAGTGGAAACAAGTCTTCATGTTATGATCAAGCTCAGCAAATTACTTTTTTCCAGTTTAAAATGGATGATGTTTCTGAATGATACAAAAGAAAGCTCCACATGGAGAAATAATGTATGCTCCATTTACAAAATAAAAAACAAGTTATTGCTGCTTACAATGTGTCAGGAAGTGTGAGGATGGTATAGGATCGGACAGGTTTCAGATCCATTGTCCATGGGGTTGCTAAGGGTCATATTCGACTTAAGACACCTAACAACAACTTGAAAAATAAAAATATTTTTTATAATTTAAGATTAAGAAAGAATAAGTTATAAATATCATAATAAAGAAAGATAAAGGTAAAATTTCTCAAATTATTTATAAAAGAAGAATCAGCATAATTTTACATTTTCTATTTTAAATGAAGAGGGCATGGGACCATTGACATTATTGCTGAAAGCAGATAGATGTTAGCTGAAAGCAAACATATTATAAGAATGTCTATTTTTGTTTTATTGATTATACAAAGGCATTTGACTGTGTGGATCGTAACAAATTCTGGCTAACCTTGAGAAGAATGAGAATCCTAGAACACTTAATTATGCTTATATAAAACCCATACCTAGGCCAAGAAATTGTTACCTGAATAGAGCAAGGGAACACTGCAAGGTTTAAAATCAGGAAAGGTGTGTGTTAGGGATGTACCCTCTTTACATACCTATTCAATATGTATGCTGAGTCAATAATTTGAGAAGCTGAACTCTATGAAGAACAATGTGGCACTAGGATTATTATTACCTGCATTATGCAGATGACACATTCTTGCTTGCTCAAAGTTAGGAGGACCCAAGGTGCCTGCTGCAGAAGATCAAGGACTGTGGCTTTCGATATGGATTGCATCTCAACATTAAGAAAACAAATCCTCACTACTGGACCAATAGACAACATCATGATAGATGAAGAAAAGACTGAAATTGTCAATGATTTCATCTTGTTTGGATCCACTGTCAGGAACCTTTGGAACCAGCAGCCAAGAAATTGGTAGATATACTGTATAGGGAAAATCTGCTGTTAAAGATCTCTCCAAAGTCCTGAAGAGCAATGATGTCAGTTTAAAGTCTAAGGTGTGAATGACCCAAACTACAGTCTTTTCAATGATCTGCTATGCATCTGAGGGCTGGAGAATGAATAAGGATGATAGAAGAATTTGCACTTAATGCAAATTTGAGTTTTGGTGTTGGTGGAGGAAAGTGCTGAATATCCCATAGACTGCCAAAAGAACAAATATGTCTTGGAGAAAGTGCCGCTGGAGTGTTCCTTGGAAGCAAAGATGGCAAAACTCTCACATATTCTGGACACATTAGGAGAGGCTATCTCTTGGAGAGAGATCAGCGAAGGAGAGCAAAGACCCTCAATGAGATGGCTTGAAAAATCTGCAGCAACGGATTAAAAATGTGTTGAGGATGATAGGATGGTGATGGGTATGACAGAGTTCAGATCTATTGTTTATAAAGTCACTATGAGTTGTACGTGACTCATCAGCATTTAACAGCAACAACAATAATTTAAATGTATTTCTCTCCTTGACACAATTAAAATCATCAGTATTTTTCTTAACACATATAATTACCAATCTGGATGTTGGCAATAGATTCAGAATGACGATCACAAAATGGACTCACTCCCAAATGATACTTTTTTTCTAGATCTCCTGTAAATGTAAAAAACAAAAACCCCAACAGAAACATTAATAAGAATATGTTGATTGGTTAGATATATAATTACAACCTTTATTTTACCTGTAAATTTCTTGGGAAAAACACACTTATTAACCCTCAGAAAAGGAGGAATAGCTTCTAAACTAGCTCTTTTTTGATTTTAAATTATTCATACTCAAGAAATGCTGCAGGTTGATTTTAATTAGTGGAGCTAGAAAACTTTTACTAGTGTTACACAAAGATGATTATTTTATCATCATTTTAATTTCTAAAGTGAAAGCAGATAAAATGAAGATCCGTAGTTCTTGGCTGAAAGTTTTCTATATTCCTATCTCAATGGCCCCCCAAGATAAGGATGAAGCAAATGTAGACATGGGTCAGCAAGGCAGGGAGCTCTCTTGGTTTCTGGACAGGGAGATTCAAAGAGCTCTGGTGGCACAATGATTAAATCTTCAGCTGTCAACAAAAGGTCAGCAGTTTAAAGCCACTAACAGCTTCATGAGAAAAAAAGACTCGACACCTCATAAAGACTGCTGCCTAACAAACCCTGGGACAGTGAACATAAAATACCCCAATGAGGCATATTATTTTTTAAAAAATTTATTTTATTTCATTATTTTTTGTGTGTACCGTCAAATCAGATCCGACTGATACAGGAGGAGATTGTTCCTCCTTCTCCAGCAGAGCAACTGGTGGATTTGAACCGTGCATCTCTGAGATTGCAGTTGCAGCTTCTTGCCACTAGGCCACCAGAGAGGCATATTCTTTTTAAAAAAAAATTTTATTTTATTAATTTTAATGAACATTTAGAGATTTTGGATTTCCATTCATTCATTGTTGCACTTTTCTCCCTGTCCAGC